AAATTGGTGTTTAGTGGAATAAACCAACAATTGTTCAGTGTCTTATCCACATATATCACCTTGATCAATAAAAACAAACAAAATATAGTAATCAATGCAAAAACTATTAAATTAGTACTCTGACCATTTATAACTGAAAGCCTCCTGCTAAAACATTTGGCCAAGCAAACTGCTGAACAACTTCTAAAAAAATAAGACACTGGAAAACCAAAAACCTAGCTACATAGTTAATTTCTGTCAACATTCACCTTACAAAAATGACCTCAAAGAAGAGTTTACATTTAACCAATATTCTTTCAATATACTGCAATACTAAATAGAGACTGTAACATTTCACAAGGTCATTACTTAAAATAATAAATAACATTATGGCCTGTAAAGTCATAATGTAACTTTTATAAACCCCTACCCAATTAACATTAATAAGGTCAAAAAGCATTAAGAACATTAATAAGGTGTTCCCATCACCTTCTCTCCCCCCTCCCCCCCTTTTAATATGACTCTTCTTTTTAAAGAATGAAAAGTTTTCCTCAAACTCTGATTAATTACCAGAGTAAAGTCTATTTTATCGGTAAGTGTTCTCAAGAATATCAGCTACACAAAACAAGGTTTAAAGCAGACACTGTCTCGCAGTTATTTACTTATTACTGGAAAGATACATATCTTTGCAGGCAGTATTAGAATTGATGAAAGAGAAACACATACTTGATCACATTCAACAAAATATCCTTGGGAAGTTTGCCCAACCCCAGCTCTCAATTATTTGCAAACCATGGGTTTTTGAGCAGAAATGTCTTCCAGAGAATATGTTAAAAAAAAAAAAAAAAAAGCAAACTAGAACACAAGGTAATTTTCACCTGTTCAGAGTTTGGTTTTAAAATTCAAAAATCACAAACAAGTTTAACACAACTACATCTTACTGACAAAAATCAATCTATTTTGTGAGTAAATTACATGCTAAAACAGACTTTTCCATAATCTGTCCAAATCCAGATATTAAGAAGCATTTGTCAGACAGCAATTACCAAGAGAACAAAAGTAACCTTTTAAGTCAACTTTGCTGGTTCTATTACAAGTAACATTTTTAGCTATGCTGAAGTTTCAGTGAATCTTTACCTGATCTGGGCAAAATGATTTTATCTATCAATTTTGCATGGCCGCCCCTCTCACAAAAGGTGACTCTGGATGGCGTACAACAGACTGAGAATTAAGAACTGAAATATGATTGACTATCTAGAGGAAGCTAAACAGTCTATTCCAACTGAAAACTGTGAGAACTGCCAGGAGTTGCCTTAACGTTCAAAGCAATTGTAGCAATCTATTTATTTAAAATATTTGTATGCCTACTTAAAAAATAAGACAAACACTGTGACAACAGACTCAATTACTTCACATTCAATGCACAAAAAATGTCTGGCAATACTAGTTTTTATCTATCAAAATGACGTGAGCCAATATTCATCAGAGGTTCAACAACTCAATTACTACATTCACAAATAATTATACTGAAATATTTGTACTCAGATATAAAGATGTGTATCCAGAATCCAAATGGATGGGGGTGTTTTAATGGACAGTCCCTCCCAAACGTATGCATACATTCCAAACTGAAGCTGAAGAGACTTTCAAAGCAATTCTGTAATATGTCATAGTGGGTCTGATTACTTGGGGGACCTCCTGTCTCCAATAACACCTGCCCAACCAATTTGATCCTGCAGGGTTTCTTCGACTAAACAATGTTAGGATCCCAAAGTGTGCCTTCTCTGTAACAGTACCTGCCCTCTGGAACTAGGTTCCCCCCATGATCCGGATGGCCCCTACTCTGCTGTTGTTCAGAAGAACTGTGAAAACCTGGCTCTTCACCCAGACCTTTGGTGAGAAAGAATGAGACTCCTTGCTTCATCGAACTTGCCATCTTTTATCTTTATTTTTTTTATGTTTTATTGATTTTACTGTAATTTCTTTGATTGTTATTATGCCATATTGGATCTGCTGTTCAGACAAATCAGAGCAGAAGGAATTCCACAAGAATCTTCTCTGTATCAGTTTGAGCCACAGGCAGAACATTCCTTGTGCCTCATACTTAAATATATTTTAAACCAAAGACCTCAGACAGAAAATGCACTATATTTTGCTACCACTCGTAACACCTTCAATTATTTCAATGGCTGTATATAAAAGGTTTAAATATTTCCATTACTTGCTAGACTAGATATTATAAAGGCGTCCCTCAAAAGTAAAGAACTTGAATCTTCTCATTTGAGGTTCGTATATTCAGACTTCCTCAAGAGGTGGTGGACTCTCCTTTTCTGGAAGTGTTTAAAATAGCAAATAACCACTTATTGTAACAAGGGTTCCTTGTAACAGGCAACAGGTTGGATTAGATGACCTCCAAAATATCTTCCAGGCCTTACTCCATTATGTTAGTTATGCAGCTGTGACTTGCTATTGTGCCCCAAGAAGGAAATAAAAAGAGAATGGCACTGTTTTCCAAGTGTGTTTGGAAATCTGTCAGTAGCTCTGGAATAGGTTAAGAATAAATCACCATCTAATTTTTTCCCCCACTTTGACAGCAGAACCAAAACAGTTGAAGGATTTTCTACTTTTCCGCCAGATTAAAAAAAGTCTAAATAGGAATACTTTAAAGAGCATTTTCAAAGCATATAGCAGGCAACAAAAGAACCAACACAATTAAAAACAAAAACAAAAAACTGAAGGGCATTCAACTGTATACTACAGGCTATGCAAATTATGTGGGTAAATAATGTTGTTATTATACAAAGTAAGGCGGTACTTTTTGGGAGAATTTTAAGAAAATAATAATCGTAAGTCAAATGTTATTGGAGCTCCCACACCATACCTTCTGCCGCATTTCAATTTAAGTTGGTTTCAGGGAGTTAAAAGCATGTTTAGCACATTTGCATAATCAAAATCTTTTTGATAATCCATCAGCGTTTGGATTCCTGAAGATTTCAGTCTCTGTGTGTGATGACAAATCTACCACAGCAGGTATTGATGGACTGCCTTCACCATTATGAATATGATGGATTAAGAGGATGGCCCTCCATCCTACTGTCACTCATGAAGTCAGTGGGACCTATCAGCTTATCCAGGCCTTTTCTATACGAATCTTGGATGAATTGTTTTTACTCCTGCTTTTGTTTTTTTTTCCCCACACACTTTTTACAGTGCGTGATTATATATTATTTGTATCATCTACTTTAATTTTTAAAAAATCACTTCAATGTGCTTTAATATAGCAAGTGATATAAAAGATATTCCATTTTATTCTCCACTTTCAACTAGGGTCCTGACATTTCAAACGGCAACACTACAACTCACAATACCTGGCCATCATCTTCACACAGCTAAATTATTTATTCTGATATACTTTAATTTATGGTTATCATATGGTTATAATTTAAGATTTCATAAAATAAGACAAATAAAGGCAAGATATCTCCATTTATATTTTTAACAGGAACAAATATAGGATGAAATAAAATGGACTGGATATAACACAAGAGCTGCAGATAGAGGTGGGTGGTGGGAGGTATGGATGGTGGGAATCTGAGGGTGGACCACACTCAGGGACATTGGGGACACCATGAATTGTCCCAATGTCTTGCCCTCAGTATTCACCCTTGGGTCCAAAATACAGCAGCGCAAGCATGTAATACTCATGTGTCATCGCCGCTATGTGAGCTGCGTTGGCTACCAGTTGGCTTCTGGGTACAATTCAAGGTGCTGGTCATCACCTGTACAACTCTTCATGGCATAGGGCCTCGTTATCTGTGAGACTGTTTCCCATGGTATTTGCCTGTCCAGTATGTTCAGGCAGAGTGGGGGTACTCCAAGTCCCCTCAATTAAACACTGTCATTCTCTGGGACAGAAGAAGCATGCTTTCTCTGTCACTGACCCTGCCCTCTGGAGCGGCATCCTCCCAGAGATGGTGCCCACTCTCTTAGGGTTCCGGAAGTCTCTTGAGTCCTGGCTGTGTTCTCAGGCCTGGGGTTATTTGCAGAGCCCCTGTTGTGTGGGTAGTTTTTGTTTGCTTGTTTTATTGTTACGCTTGGTTTTGTCTCGGCTGTTAGACTGTGTGGTTATGTTTTTGTTTAAAATTTGATATTGGATATTGTAAGCCATCCAGAGTCTGCTGGAGTGGGACAGCTATAACAAATGATCATCATCATCATCTGCAAATGAGGAATGGCTGGGTCTAAATAAGAATTTAATATACTACTTTCAACACAGAGTTTTTAACTTGATTGGAAAAGTAACACTGCAACTAACCTAAAAGCAACACGAAGTATTTTGCTTTAGGGCAGGAAAGAAAATGCAAGCCTACCATAGCCCAGGAGCTACTATTATGCTGTGCAATTTACACAAAAATGTGTCTTGTTTGCAAAGGCTAGAATAAGTGTATCTGTGTACGTCATAACTTAGGGTACTCAATAAGGTATTAAAATCTTCTATATCTATACCACCCAGGCAACACAAGCTGAGCTTACGCAAGAAGAAACCTAATAGTTTCCATTCAAGAGTGAGGAAATAAAAGGTTCATTCCATTAGCTATTATAAAACTGAAACAATCTAGGATTCCATCCTGTTTGGGAGAACATTATATGTCATTCATTCTTCATATCCTAGGAAAGAACTTTTGAACCCATGACCTTGCTTTTGAGCTTCTACTATGTACCACTCCCTTAAATCATTGTGATTCTATTTTATCTTTTAGGTCTAGAATAGCAAAAACACTGAGATGATTCCTGTTTTCTCCTTTACCTCAACTGCCTCCCTTCCAGCCCATAAATACTATGCATCCTTACTGCCAACTCCTTCTTGCTTTCTCTGTTATCTCCTAGCTCTCAAAACTTAGATTTTATGGTCACATTAGTAGTAGTTTTTGCACTGATCTCTAAGGCATAATCTGTGTAATATTATTATCAATCCACATACCCATTACTGACAGATCATTTAAGAAAAGAGAAATAATTACCCTTCATCTGTGTGGCAAAAGTGAGTGCCAGCTTGGCAAACAGATCTGGATTTTCAAATTTTTCATCCTTAGCTTTTACCCAAAAACAATGTTCTTGTATTTCATGCGGTTCAACCTGAAATGAAAATGAACCTAATTATATACTATCAATTTAAATCACTTAACCCTCCACAAATCATGACAGTGGCAGATCATTACATCTGTACATCCTGCAATCAAAGCAAATTATTCAAAGATTGAAGTTTTCAATCTTCTCCATCAAATGAGAAACAAGACGCTTAAAAAAAGGAACAAAAATATAAGTATTCTTCAAAAAAGATGGTAAAATCTGCTTCAGTAAGAGTGTGGTGGCATCTTATGTTCTACCTAGCTGATGGCATCTAGCTGACCTTGAAAGCTGAGCAGGACCTAGTTAGTATTTGGCATAATAAGAAATCCTAGAGATACAGACAGGGAAGTAAAGAAAAAACTGTCTCACAAGAAGGCAAGGGCAAACCACTTCTATACTCTTACCAAGAAAACTTCATTCTTTTAGCACAACTGGTATTTTAGTATATCTGATGTTTTAAATAAAGGTATGGAAAAGTGTTTAACCCTTTTTCCTTTGCAGAATCCACAGAATGAAAGCTGAGTTCGTTCTAAGGAGCTCCTATTATTATATTCCTCTCTGTTTGCTTCTCAAAATCTAATCCAGTGCATTGGAATTATGTTGCTATATTGAACATTACATTGCTAAAATGAAGATCTATTCAAACACACTTTCCAGCTCATGTCCAATAGGATAATAATAAGTAGTGTTTATAGAACTCAACTGCAAGCCTGACAGAATGTTTATTGTGTTGTGCTATGCATTCATAATAAATAAACACCTTAGAAAAAGATAATCTTCAGAAGTTCCTGTCCTAAACTTACATAATATTATGCACATATTATCAGCTTCCTACTGCTCATCTACTACAATAGAATACATAATAATAAACTGATTTATAGATGCCACTTAAATTATTCAAACAGAACCCAGAACAGTAAATTATTAATAAAAAGCAAGCAAAAAAGACGTTTTGCAATATCTATTTTATTCTTGGATTTTATTCTTCATATAGATGTAACATGTCCAAAATGTGTTGAGGTATTCCCCACTTTCACCCCATGGAGAAATCAAGGTTATTAAAACTAAAATTACATCCCTCGCCCCAACAGACCATTACAGCCTGCCTGAAACATTTTTCTATTAAATATAGTATTATAAACTAGTTTATGACCACAATGGTTTATGATGGTTTTTAAAATATTTTATTGAATCTGTACCTTTCATGCCAGAGGGAAAATGATAGACTACATTTATACAGATATATAAAACAATGACCATGTCTGTCACAGCTCTAAGTAAGAGCTCCCAATATCCCTTAAGAATATCCCCAACCACTAACAAGTGTTAAAGATTAATATACCAACAGTCCATGGAAAAACGATTAGCTTCAAAAATAAATGAAGATTAAACAACGTCATTTGTATATTCAAAACCATTTCAGCAGCATGCAGGCATTATTCTCTTTAAGATTAGGAAAAAAGTTAGAGCAAATGTTCAAGATGTTTGATATAGATACCTTTGCCCAGTTGATTCTCTTCATGGTCACTTCTGGGCTGTACTTCTTCTTTGGCTTTATCCCAAAAGGCAGCACTGGTGTAGCTACTAGAGAAGGAATGCCACCAAACATAGGAGGAGGAGGAGGTGGCCCAAACCCTCCAAGTAAAGGAGGGGGTGGAGGGGGTGCACTTCCAGGTAGTGGTGGTGGAGGTGGAGGAGGAGGAGGGGCATCAGAAACTGGAGGGGGTGGTGGTGGTGGTGGAGGAGGAGGAGGAGGAACACCACTTGAAGATACAGAACCCTACAAAAGAAAGATTTGGGATAAGGAGAGGGGGAAGAGGAAAAAATGTTATCCACATGCCATTAAAAGTGCATAATAAATTGCATTAAATAAATGTATTAAATGGCAATCTAAGAAAATTCTTATTCTAGATATCTCCCAGCCATGATGTAAGTTCACCCAATTATGTTCTGTTACATCTTATTCAAGCATTTCACTGAGTTGAAATCCATCATGAATGAAAATATGGTCATAGGGAAAAAACCATTTTCAAATCAGTAGAGTTATGTAACAGAAATGGGTTACCTTTTTGGCACTTCATTGCAATAAGAAGCAGCAAGTGCCATGTGTAACTTTGGTAAGAGTTCCTTCACATTAAAACAGATCAAGAGAATTAATGAAGTGAGATTTGAAAACAAGAAAAAGGGTCCGTTAACAAAAGTACATTCCAAGGGTTTTAGGATATTTTTATCTATGTGCTATTCATAGAACTGTTAGAGGAGAAGCCAACTAGCTGAAACTGAATTATAATCTTAAGGTTCCCATATTTAAATACTCACTACCTCAGAAAATCAATTTTCTAAATTACGTTAACTGTATAGGCAGGAAAATTAGGATGAAGAGCCTATTCTTAGCGGTGATTCTTAATTTTTGTACTAGCAAGGTAACTTGAGGGAAATTCATTATCTGAACTAATATCAGCAATATCATAACACCTTATGAAGCCATGAACAAAACACCAGCATGTCTTCTTTTTGTAAAATATGACAATACTCTTATAACCACTCCATAAATTGAATATGTACTCATTAGGATTCTTTTTTAGAATAAACTCAACCAGAACAAATGAACTTTCAATGACAGACTATCAAAAGGCTAAATGTTCATTATTTTTAAACTGCCTATAAAAATTAAAATTAAAGATTAAATTCGTTCTGCTTTTTTTTAAATCCTTCAACTTTAAATACACCTCTATGTTTCTAACAATGTTTAGCTTCTACTGGTACTTAATCTTAAGTATCAAGGATATTAATAATATTATATTTTTAAACATATTTTGTAAGCATTTAAATGCATTAATACAATAATGAGATTTTAAATAAAACCATTTTTTTTTAAAAAAAGAGGATTCTTCTATTTAATTTCACTTTGATGCTCAGTATTATGGGTCCCTCTTATTGACATCTGAGTAGAAGAAACCCGCATCTCTGCCTACCTTGAACCATGAAATAACATTTCTTCTTCCAGCCATTCTTAACATATATTTAGCCATTAGCACCTTATTTCCTTCAAATCAAAAATCATTTCAATAGGGTAACGATGCCACTGAGTTATGTTACCTGGGTCCGCAACTGCTGGATTTCAGCTTCAAGTTCTTTGATTTTTTCTTCTCGTATTTGAAGCTCAGCTTGGGCTTCCTGACGAGCTGTAAATTCTTCATCAAACTGCAATGATCACCAGTATGGAAATAATCATTAATCTTGGTCCAAACTTAATACTGCTATGCAAGAATGAAAGATTGAGCAAAAGAAGTCTGTCTGGCTTCCTGGACTAGTGAAAATAATGCCAGGGTGGTAGAGGGGTGGGCAAGGTAATCACAGCAAAAAGTGTCTTGAGATAGTTTCCTTCATATAACTGTGAACTAGCAGTAGGCTTTTTCATTATAAAAAAATTAGGTTAAGCAATGGAAAGTATTATTTATTCTAATTAATATATGTGGAATTGCCCCAAATGATTAACTGGAGATGGGAAATCCAGTGGTTAAAAGTTCTTCACTCAACATATAATCCCTGGCTAGCCACAGAAATAGGTTAGAGACAAACAGGAATGTTTATCTTAAAGATGATTTGGCTAAAGCTCTTCCCGCATAGGACAGGACAGGAGATAATATGTTGCCTACAAGGGCTATTTAAGGACTTCAAGCTAGGATAGGGCAATCTGTAAGAGACACATAAAAGAGTTCCTATCACACCGACTGCACCAATTTCAATTAACACCTAAGCTCTGCCTGGTTGCAGAGGCATCATTCAATTATTAATTTAAATAGCTTAATTTATTATTTAAATAATTACTAATTATCCAAGTGCATGCTTTTTTACCATATCCATGTACAGCTGTATTCACATATAAACATAACAACACTAAATTCTGAAATCTAAGACCTTTAAAAAAAAAAAGTAAATTACGTAGAAATATATCAAAGAAAGGTTTAGAAAGGCTGCAATATGAGGAGTTGTTTTGTGCCTACCTTTTTGGAAAAATCTGCAGCTTTCTGTTCACTTTGTTCAACCTTTGCTTTGTCCACACAGCTGTCTGAAAGGATTCAAATTATAAAGCCCAACATAAATACCATTTTAAAAGTCAAAGATGTACAACATCATACAGAGACAGCACTGCTTCTGACAGGAAGCAAATAGTTTTTAAAATTATCTGGATTAAAAAAAAATGTTCTTGAACAGCCTGAGATTTGTTTTATAAAGGATTTTTTCAAAAAAAAAAAAAAATTATGCTGAAGTACTGAAGCCTTCCCGGAATTCTCTCTCCTCACTAAAACTTTTATTTTAAAAAAATCACATATGCCTATTTTCATTTTTTTTTTTACATTTCTCAAAATATTCAGAAATGAAATTAACACAGATCACAACAGTACTGCAGCTGACAAAAGCTAAACATGTAATCATTCTTCCTAAAACTCTGATGATAATGCATTCATTTCTAATCTTCCTGCTCCAAAATCAGTGGAATTTCGACATGAATATGGAGAATGTCTATAGCCAGAATAAACAAGAGATCACAAAGCACTGAATCATTAACACATGCTGTATATAAATTCCACTAAAAATATAGGAACAGGACAAGTACCTTTTGGTCTCAGCAATTTCAATAAGAAACTTTTTTTTCTACCCTCCATTCACTGAAATCAAAAGGACGTAACTTTCGATGACCCACTTCTTACGGTAGAAAAACTGACCCCACGAAAAGAATTCTTAAATTATAATTATGAAAATAATGAAAACATAGTAAAAAAGACGCACTTACCTACTAGATGCGTGAAGTCTACATCCAGCCTCCCTCTACACTTGAAGTCGGGATCCATACCACTACAGTGTAATACTATCTGGGAAACACATTCTTCTATTATCTTGTAATACTGAGGGCTGGTGTGAAAAATAAAACGCAATCATTTTTGTAATAAAGAAATTCTATAGGCACACTTAAAAATGGAGAATCATTTAGTCTACCTAGCAAGCAGGATGAGATCATCCATTTTCAAGCATGTGACAACTGACTGATTCAGTGTAACTGTTTAATTTGTGTTAGTTTATTAATTTAGATATTGAGGTAGACATGCTCTGGGCCCTCTCTCTGAAAGAACGCCATCTTGTGTGAACCAGGAAACATGCTTTCCCTACAGCAGTACCTCTCTTTGTAACAGGTTTCTCCCTGAGATCTAGATGGCCACATCCTATTGGCCTTCCAGAAGGATGTGAAGACATGGTGTTTTCCTCAGGCGTTAGGGCCAGGACACTAGTGAAGCATGATTTGCCTGCTGGTGTGTAAGGTTTCGTTTTGAGGCATCTTGGTTATCATCTGATGACTATTCTTAATTGTATTCTGCAGTTCTACATATATACATACATTTATATACTGAATACGATTTTTTAAATTGTTAGTTGCCCAGAGTTCCTTGTTTAAAATGGACAGCCATATAAATTTTCCAAATAAACCAACCTTGCATAGGTATAAATATCCACAAGGAATTGGGTTGGGAAAGAAAGGAGAAAATGATCCCTTAGCTTCACACTTTCTGAAGCTATTTCCACAAGCTCAAGATGATGATAAATATGGACATTGGTACACAGTGCTAACCTGAAGAACGTCCAGAATGGATCAAATATTTGCTTTCTCTGTGCCAATTACTCCTTCTCCTCCTTGAACTAGATAAAAACAAGGGCACTAGAATATATTTCACTGCTTGATTGCTTCAGGGTGTGTGATCATAATTTTAAGGACTGAGCATTTTATTTAAATGAAACTGCTTATGGACAATGGTAACACTTTCTTTCCTTGCTTCTACAATTTTTTAATTTCTTTTCCTCCTTAATTTGATGCCTTAAATACATAATTTGATGAAGAAGTCCAGAATTAATAAGATTTACCTGAACTTAGACTTACACCTGAGTAGCCCTCGTGTTTAAAGTTTTCTGGTGACTTAAACAGAATCACAAGATCTGTTTTACCTCCCGCAAAAACATAATGGGATCTGATCTTTTGCAATGGAATCAACTTGAAGGTATTAGCGGTTAATTTATCAAGGAAAAAGAAATGTCTCTCTGATGGTTCTACCTGAAAAGAAAGATAGGGGTGCATGTTCCCTTTACTACATGACATGCTCACTTAATTAAAGAACAGGATGCACCACTTAAAAATAAAAAGCAGAATAACTGGCTTACCGTATGTAATAATCATTCCTAATGAGTAGAAAATGTTGTAAAATTGATAGAAAGTAGTTTTCTGACGTTGTTTCTTTCAACATGTTATATAACAGGTGGTAAACTTCATTCACATCAGTAAAAGGACCATTAAGGAAATGTCAAAATAGCTGAACCACATATAATGACTATAGTTTTTGAAAATCAAGACTGAAAGAACCTTGAAAATTCTTCTACTGCGTTACAAATATTGGACACTGACTTTGAACTCTAAACTAGGACACACATTTTAAATCTCCATTTACTACCACAACAAAAAATTAAAGTAATATTTTAAATGCTATTATTTAACACTGGAACGTTTAATTGTTTAATGTAGTGATCTTTGGATTACTACTAAACTTAAGCTCCCTGTTTTTATTTTTCAATATGAGGAATGTCCAAAACTAACAATACCTCTAGCTCTTTAAGTTATTAAAACATATTGAAACAGTTAAGAAAATAAATCCACACAGTATCAGTGGAGATAGCTGGCAGCCCAAATACACTTAAAAAAAAAAAGACAACACATTAATATTTTGGGTTTTCTATAACTGTAAGTACAAGGCCTGCCACTGATAGGGTGTTCCACAAATGTGGGGCTGCTGCAAGGAAAAGCTCCAGCCTGTATCCTGGTAAAGGAATTCTGTAAGTTGTGACTTCAGTATTATGAAATTGGAACACCAAGGGAATAATGGGGCAATAAATTAATAGTGTACTAAATAAAGTTGAATATAACATATGACTTGCAATAGCCAGCTACTTATTTGACATCCAGCCTTCATTATACATTAAAAAAAAAAAAAAACACCCAAGTATCCATTAGGGGTAAAGTTATTGTGGGAATTAAACAAAATCACAAGGTTTGTTTTAGCTCTTTAAGTTATTAAAACATATTGAAACAGTTAAGAAAATAAATCCCCACAGTATCAGGGGAGATAGCTGGCAGCCCAAATACCCTTAAAAAAAAAAAAAACACCCGAGTATCCATTAGGTGTAAAGTTATTGTGTGACTTAAACAAAATCACAAGGTTTGTTTTAGCTCCCACAAACACACTAACATGAACCCAATAATCTGTTTAGTACCAAGAAAAACGTTCAGTATAAGTATTGTCATTAGTCTTAACTGACCTATACACAATTTTAAATAATTACCACTATTCCTTATATATTTGTCAAAAACTTCTACATGTATCTGCTTCTTGTACATTAATGTAACTTATTCTGGGTTCAAAGCTTTCTCATTCTCTGCTACTGTTCAGTTCTAAGGAAAACAGTATAATTTTTTTAAAGGATATTCCATTTCCACTTTGATGTCATTGAGACGATGGGCCAATTCAGTTAAGTCTTCCTCTTTGTTTTCATCAAATACTTTCAACTGAATATCAAGTTCTTCATTCTCTTTCTCTTTTAGGTCCTAGTATTCCATAAAGTAATTTGAACAGTTTACATCTTCTAAATGTATAGTACCATTAAGCATAAACAAATATTAAACACTCATTCTTCAACTTCGTACCTGCACATATCTGGGAAAGTCAGATGGAAATTGAAACTGGCTGAATTTCAAATAAAGTTATTAGAGTCTACCATATATTCTCTCCCCCCTGTTTACGTTTGTGATTGTTTCATCATAGTGAAGTTCATACAATTCAGGTCCTTCAATGTTTTGCAATGTAACAAAAAAGTATCAGATTACATAACTTTGACACACATCCCAAATCCAAACTTGGCTAGACCAAATAAAAAATTGGTCCAATATAATGGTTCAGAACCACCTTAACTATTACAACATGCAGTTCTAATCAAATTATTTAAAACATCAACGCTGCTGATATATCCAACCACAACAGTCCCAAGTATGGCATTTTAAGAATTCTGGTAAAACTGCTGCTATTCTGCTATCAAAATTGTGAATGTCTATCCCAAGAAATGTGTAGTGGAAGAATCACTTTTGCCCAAGCATTTTATGCATTTTATGTATAAAATCAAACTAAAACTACTATCGTCAGTTGCTCAGAATCTTATCTTAAAGTCTGTTTAGTTTTCACTCAGTACTTTTCTCAACAACATGAAATCTTTCCACAATCTATTTATAAAGCATGATATTGACAGCATTTAACATTGTGAATTCTAAGAATGGACCAGTTATATCAAATTCATTTTTCAAGTTCATTTGCCTGTAGTGAGGTAGTATTCTTGGCAGAAGAAGCTTTTTTCCCCCTAATACTGCTAAAACATGTAATTCTAAGACAGGAATTTTTAACCTTTTTATGACATGGACCTCTTTGAGAGTCTGGTAAAACCTACAGACCCTTCTCAGAAAAAAGTATTTAAATGCATAAAATAAAATAGAGATTAACTGTTGCTTTATCTTTGACTGCTTTTTCTTGTAAAACATCCAGAGCACATTTTTTGAAGTGGATGGCCATGTAAATTCTTTAAAGAAACAAATAAATAATATAGACTGAATTACGAAGGAAGCCAATTATATTCATATAAAATTACCAAAATTAGAAATAGGTAATATAGTAATATATGTGCTTTTTTATTAATCCATTAAATCAGTAACAAGACAATGGATACATTTAAAAGATGGACATGTTAAAATTAAACATTTTTGGAGTCTAGAGGCCATAAATCACTTTGTTGCCTACTTTCATTTTGTTTTTTTTGACTATACTTAAAAATTGTTGAAGATAATATGATGCTGTCCTGACAGCTGTAGTCCTCATTTACTTAAATGGTAATTGTGTAATATTATCAATCATTAAGAATCTCAAAATGGGTTTTCCACTAGTGTATGCAGTTCCTATTTATGATTACAAAATATATTAAGGAAATTATAATGTATTCTGCTATAAAAATGTATTGTTTTTGTGAAATTTAAAGCTTGCATATTATATTTTTGAATCCTGGTACTTATACAGGTAATTATGGGTTTATATCAAACCAGTGTGGCCTAAATTCAAGTATTATTTAAATATTAGTGTGAGGTTTTATTTGTAATGCATTAAAAGCACATGCATCCAAACTTTTATAGCATGCCACACTAGTGATCGTTGGGATTAATATATCACCTTGAAGTTTTTACTATGATGCTTTTAATCCTGTAGCTTTCAAGTAATGCTCCATAATCACATTCAAAGATGGCAACAGAAGAAGGGGGAAGACAAGGTGTGGAGTCTACAATAAAAATGTCAGGAATGTGGAATCTGTGGTTAGCCATAAAGAAAACAACTGATTATATCAGTGTTTCTCAACCTTAGCAACTTTAAGATGTGTGGACTTCAATTCCACACATCTTAAAGTTGCTAAGGCTGAAAAACATTGGATTATATCAAGTGATGATCTTTCGATCTGCCTATCAAGAAGGTAAGCTAGATATATAACACCTAATATGGTGATAGTTTTATTGTTTTGAATGTTTATACACTCTGGTTGTTTAAAGATACCAATATAGAAATATTTCAAATAAATAATAAAATAAATGCAGCGGCATAGACTTGTCCTTTTCTTCAAGGATTCGTAGAAAGACAATAGGATTATCTGCAAGGAAAGGAAGCAATCTGAATGCACTGTGCCTATCTTACGACAACTTAGGCTGTTTAAAAACTTTTTAAATACACCATCATAAATAGTATCATCTAATGATTGTAAGAATATGATGATATACTGTATCAAAAATGCCCGCAAAGAAGTCTACTGAGCTCCGGTTCTACCATAAACTTGGGAATTAGCATAGTCAGTATAAGAATGTTTCTTTCTAAAATTGGAAATATCAGAAATGTACTTAATTCTGAAATAGTCCCATTGACAAGTAAAGAAACATTAGGGTTATACAGGCAATAAACTCAACAAAAATATATATATAATAAAAGATCATCCAATCATTAGATTAGTAACATCTCTCCATTTTAGTTTTTATAGATATTTAGATTTTATTAATCTCAGTTGCTATTTCAATTAAACAGAGAAAGGTAATTCTGTCTTAATGTCCCTTAAATTCTTATTTTTAAGTGGCTTAATTATACTCATAAATTATATTCACGAAAAGCCAATGTGGTGATTTGAGGTCCTCAGCAAGAGAACCTGCAGTTGAAGAATAAAAGATTTAATTAAATGTGTGCGTCTGTCAGTCATGATGGTTTGCTATAAAATAGGCTGCACAATAACTGTCCTCCAAAACTACTGTGTAATTGATCAAATTTGCCCATGTCCTGCTTTATTAAATGTTTACGTGAGTGATTATATCCGGTAAACTATTACCTTCCCTTTATCATTCTGTATTTTAGTTTTTATTAAAATTGGAACCCCAAGTGACCAGTCAAATTAAAATCTAAATTATGACAAAGGTTATAAAACCATCTTCATTTGCAATCTGTTATCCCAACTGCATTTTACAAAGTTAAAGAAATTAGAAATATAGCAATTTCCTTTGAAATGTGGGGGAAAAAAATATAAATACCTTCAAAAAGAAAATCTCACCTAATACAATATACTGTGTTTTGCTGTGCTATGAAAAACAATATATCATGTTATGTTTCAACATGGTAATGATAGAGAAAAGTGAGGCAAAGTTACGTCTTGGTGAATTTCCAATATATATTGTGCTGCTATATAGTTTTGCAATCGCAGAATCCTTTTCTTTCACTACGCTCTCTTTTGAGGGAGCAAATGGGAGAGTTTGGAAGTCAGAATTTCTGAGAATCATGGCTTATCGCAAATAAATAAGGCTCAGGCCTTCACTAATGACTTCCTTTTGTCAACGGGAACGTGGTGCCTATATTTGTTTTCTGAACTGGAATCCTCAACTTGTCTCTTAGTATCCAAGATAAGCTCAATGTTTCCTACTCTGACATATTTGAAAAGACAGAAACCAGGGGTCTCTGCTCAAACCTCATGATAAACAGACAGGCATATCAACGTATAAAGGCATTCAGAGACACAACCATGCCTACATTATGCTATGACTCCACTCAACAAGGTTGTCGATCCCTCTATTAGTCTAGTACAGGGTTTCTCACTTGTATGTTGGGGAATTCTGGAGTTGAAGTCAACACATCTTAAAGTTGATAAGGTTAAGAAACACTGGTCTAGTAAGTTCCTAGTAAGTTCCTACAAATATTTTTGGCATTTGTTGATGTGGTAACATTCTAAAGCAGTATAATGGAAGAGACAACTTAGTTTAAATGACAAAATATTTCCATAATGGTAGGAATGTTTATTTTACAAAGTTTAGTCAATGATGTTTTCACATTATTTAACTAAGAAAGAAAAAGAGGAAGCAAAGACTTGAGGAAACTTGCACCCATCTGACAAGGATATAGAATATCTTCAAACAGATCATGACTGGTTACCCATCATCCTAAGTAGAGGTCTCTGCACTGCAATATTTCCTCACAAGTCCCAGTTTCATACTTAAACTTCAGGATGAAGCTGATCTCTCACATGCCACTTAATATCCTGAACTTATAAGCTTTAAAGGAAAGCTGTACTCAGCATTTACTGGCTATTTGCCAAGGCATCCCTTTTCCCAACAAGAGTTGAGATGACCTAAAAGATGCTCTACATCAACTTCATTTGCAGAAAATATAATCCAAGTCCAACCTAAAATCTAGGAAAACAAGCTTTAAGAAAGGGCATGCTGATTAAATTGAAATAATGGATTTCTTACTTTGGTAATGAAATAATTCACTAGAGGTCTAAGAACATGGTATTTTAAAGCTCTAAGAAAAAGATGTGATGCATTTTCAGATATCCCCAGCAAAACATATTACTTTTACTGCATTTACGTGATCAAATGCCAAGTGTTCAGGGCTGTGAAAAATTATAGCTGCATGCTATAAAATGCAAAAGGGTTTGCTCATGCAAACACAGTTGCTGGAGATTCCCATGTCAACCATCTGTACCCATTTAATAGTGTTAGACACCAGTAGTGACTGATGTGTTACATAAAAAAATGCAGAGCCTGTAATTAGGCGTAAATATTGTCCAGCTGTATAAGAACCAGAGAATACTCCTATACTCTGATATGGGTCATCAGGGTTTAAATCATCTGACAAGTGGGTCACATTTCAGGAAGCCTGTATGGTTTTCCTTGTCCCCCACAGGCATTTGGATCTTAAATTCTTCTGCACGCTGGCTTATCCAGTCAGAATTGGTAATTGCTTTTTCTATTTAAGAGTAGAAGAAGCTAAAATGAACTACATTGCTCAACTGGAGAAAA